GGTTTAGGGCTGAGGAGTTTAGGGTTTAGGCTGGTTCAGGGTTCAGGGCTTGCTGTGCATTGCACGGGGCATTTGGAGACTTCAGGCGCGGTACGGTTTAGGGTTTAGGGTTTAGGGTGGAGGGTTAAAGGTTTAGGCCTCCAGGTTGGGGTGCTTTCAAGGGCGTTCTGTTGCAAACCTCAAACTGCCCCCATCCTGAAACAGGTGCAAGGCTTTTGAGGTGTCCGACTAGAAATCGTGCTTTCCATGGTGTGGTAATTTACCCATAGGCCCCCGATAGTAGTGCTTTTTTGGTGTTCATATTCAGAATCCTTTCAGGTAATCCCCAAAAAGGAACTACTATGGGGCCTATGGGTACAAGAGCCTTAATTATTATTTGCAGGGGTGTACAATATGCCATAGTTTTATTGAGGAATCCTTGCGCAATGGCATTAAGTAACCCTAAACCCTAAATAAACCCCTAAACCCCTAAACCCTAAACCCTATAAACCCTAAACCCTAAACCTTAATCTCGCTCCATTAGTCATGAGTCTAGTGCGGGAACTGCAAGGGGTAGGAATTGCCGAGGGCTCCTGCGCCCAAAATAGAACCCCAAACTGCCAGCACAAGACAACGCCAAACCTCCAAACTCACGACCCCAGGGTTTTGAGGTTCATGGTTCCTTTTTAGGTTTTTAGAGTCCACGGATAAATGAAAAGGCTTGAGGGAATTTAGGGGTTAGTTCGGGCTTTAGGGTGCAGGCTTGAGGGTTTAACGAGAACCCTAAACCCTAAACCCATCCTAAACCCATCAAGCGCAGCTTTGCGTCAACATAGATCGTGCGGACATCCAAAGTCGGGTAGATGCTGTCAGGGGGTGGTCGGATCTGCACCAGGACCGGCAGCCTTGGCATGGGCTCTTCATTAGGGTTTAGGGTTTAGGGTTTAGGGTTCAAGGTTTAGGGTTTAGGGTTTAGGGTTGAGGGTTTAGGGTTTTCTGAAACCTACCTTAACCCCCAAACAGCCTACCTTTTCAGGGGCCCTAAACCCCCTAACCGAAAACGCCCCTACAGTTTCGGTTTTATGCGTCGGGATTTCGGCATTTGGGTCGGGGCTTTCGTGGCCAAGATTCGGGGCTTCGGGCTTTTTATGCATTAGGGTTTCGGGTTTGTTAAGTAGGTACCAAGAGCAAACAAGAACAAAGGAATCGCCAAGCATCAAGCTTTGACAGCCACGAGGACATTGGAAATTGCATTAATACGAACCACGCACCCTAGACCCTAATCCCTGAACCCTGAACCCTCAACCCTAAATCCTAGTCCCTAAACCCTAGATCCTAAACCCAAAGCCCTAATCCCCGAATCCTAAACCCCAAACTCGAAACCCTAATCCCTAAACCATGAACCCTAATCCCTAAACCCTGAACCCTAAACCCTGATCCCCAAACCCTAAACCCTAAACCCTAATCCCTGAACCCTGATCCGTAAACCCTAAACCCTAATCCCTGAGCCCTAATCTCCAACACCGAATCCTGCGTGCTGCGCACCCTACTGAAGCTGAGTTTGTTGGGAAACGACCGCTTCGTAAACCCTCTTCCCCAAGCTCCTGAACCCTAAACCCCTGATCAAGCCTAAACCCTAAACCCTGAA